ATCAAGACTGGAGCGCAGAAAGCTAAGAATAAACTACAAATTACTGTAGGGATGGATCCGGGGGATCTTCTGCCAGCCCTTCAGGTTGGAGCATACGTGGTTGGAAGCACCTGTTGCTCCTGTCATCGCTCGGGGTGGGGGTGAAGGATGGGGGTGAAGGGGGTGGGGGTGGGGGTGGGGTATACCCTGCACCGTCCTTTGCTTCTGACTCAGAACCAGGGCACCCGTGCTGATTGGCCAAGGCTCTGCCCCTGCTTCTCGGCTGCATGTGGGGCTAGGAAAGCCTTCGGCTCCCCGCTAACAACATGAGGAATTTTCTAAACCAGGAAGGGGGCTCGGATACTGCAATGTCCAAGGAGAAAGCTAAATCACCCCTCCGAGCCAACCCCGCTCTGTTTCCACGATACTGCGGGGCGTGGCTCCCCCCGCCACTCCGATTGCTTTGCCACGGGTTTCTTTTTCTTGCTAGAACAGGACTTTGTGACACCACAGAGTGGTGTTCAGGCTGTGTTCCTCCTTCCTAGCACAGCGCTCCCCAAATCCTCGGTAATTCTGGAGTGATACTGGTTTTGAGAGCCCGTTTGGTTCTGACGAGGCCGCTCCTGGTGGGCCCCTGAGTAGCTTCAGGATGAGGGCCGATAAACCACAAAGACCAAGGCTCGGTGAAAAGCTCAGGCCTTGCAGCCTGGTCCCTACATTCTCTGATGAGGGGAAGAGGAGGAAAGATTCGGTTAACCATCAGTGGCCAATTATTTAATCAGCTCTGCCTAAGGAGTGATTGAAGGACGGGATTTGGAGAGTGCTCGAGTTGGCAAACACATCCACGTGCTGTGTGGAAGTTGCTTGGCTCGAGATGGAGTTGCTGTGTCAACATTTATTAAATAAATAAAGCCAATAAATTTTTAAAGGAGGCCTTTTATGCCTGATAGTTACTGTCACAACAGCCCGCCAGCAACACGGACCGCCGTGCATAAAAGCCACAGCAGCCTTGTACACAAAAGACCTCTGAGAGTGCTGTTCAACCCGGGGCTGACATCAGTCCTGTGCGAACTACTGTGACGGGAGCTTGCTTCAAAACACATCGTATAGGTGCGATGCTGGTGGTGTGGTGGCAGGTCCAGCCACCTTCCAAGGCCGTGTATCATCCTGATTTTTCTCTCTAAAGACTCCCCTTGTCTCCACGTCTTTGAATACACCACAGCATCTATATTCTTGTCGCAAGGCCCTGTTCTTCCCACTGTTAATAAATAAATCTAGATTTATTTTGCTCCAGTTCTAATTTCTTTGTAGTTTTCTTGATTGGCAGCTGGGAGGACATCACGTGCTGCCTCCATGGGGACATTGTTTTCTCTGCTTGGGATTCTGCTGGACCCCATTCCGTGCACTGCTTCCCCTGGTGGTTGATGGTAAAACAATAAGCATAAATCAAAGTGCCTGCCTGGGTCCCCTGAGTCATTCTAGCAAATTATCAAACCAGAGGAGAGGGCCATGGGAACCCTCAAATTATAACCATGGTTAGAATTGCAGGTGACCTGGGTTTAGGAATGACATTCATGTAGGGCTGAGCTATTGGATCTGTGGGCTCTGTTGTAAACTCCAGGTAGTTGATGTCGGGATCACTTTGAATAGTTAAATACCCAGTTAATGCCAGAGACTTGGAGAAATGATGTTTGTAGTGAAGAGAAAAGCAAAACAAAACAAAACAAAACCCATCACCCCCTACATGCTTCCAACTCTTTTTTTAATCTGGCATCCTGTCTTTCCCTAACTCCTCTTCCTCTACCTCCCCCCTTAAAATAATTGTTTATTTTTTTTATGTGTATGTATTAGTTCATGTGCACCGCTTGCATGCAGGTACCAGCAGAGGCCAGAAGGGGGCAGCAGATCCCCTGGAGCAGGAGTTACAGGTAGTCGTGAGCCACCTGACTGGATGCCAGGATCTGAACGCAGGTCCTCTAGAAGAGCAGCAAATGCCCTCAACTGCTGTGCCATCCCCCAGCCCTGTGCCATTCTCTTTTTATTTCTACTGTCTGCCATAGTTTCTTTCCCTGTTCTTTCATGGGTGTTGTCAAACCTGTGTGATCCATTTACTCTTCTGCATGCCGCGGTCCTATGTTACCCTAGTTCCTGAGCACTTATACCCAGATGGCCTACCTTCACTCCAGATGCATTTGTCCAACACAGAAAGGCAGGCTGTTTTAAGTCCATGAGCCCCTTCCCTTACGTATATAATCCTATGACTTGGCCAATCAGAGGCCAAGCTTCAGAAACACTCTCGGCCCTTCCTGGTTAATCCTTCATGATATCATTGCTCTTTGCCTCAAATGTGTTTCTCTGATTCTGTGTGTAGCCCTTTAGTTCAGCTCCTTGTTGGCTTATGCAGCTTCTCAGGCTGTTGCAATAGCCGTAGCCCGGGCTCACAGTCATCTGACTGGACCTTTCCCTGGTGTGTTCTGCACTCTGCCTCAGAGTCATCATGAGGGGCTGCTTTGATTAGTGTGATGCTCTCAGAACACTCTGTGTCAGCCGGTGTTTCGTCACTGTAACAAACGCCCAGACGATCAACTGAGAGGAAAGCCTTACTTTGGTGCACACGTTGGAAACTACAATCCACACTCCACGGGCCTCACTGCTCTGTGCTGAGGCCACACACGATGATCTCAGCACACGGTGGAGCAAAACCATTTATCTCATGGATAAGATGCAAAAGAGGAAATATCAGGGTTCTCCAGTTCCCTTGGAGAGCACAACCCCAGTGATCTAACCTCCTTCTCGTAGGCTTGCCCTCCCAAGGGTTCCACCACATCTCAACGGTGCCATGGTCTGGGGACCAGACCTTGAACACTCGGGCCTTTGGGGGACATTCCAGATCCAAATGACAGTGATATGGAAGGCAGTACGATTTTGTGAGCCTGCGTGCAAGGCCTCAGTTTCCCTGCTTGTACCTACTATGCCAAATACTTAAACAAAAGGTGATTGTTTTGTGTGCACTATAGAGGGGAATGTGTTGATTCCAATCCTAGGTCTTTAAATCCTGCACCCGGGATCTCTCGCTGGCAGTCTTGTCTTGTCTACGATCACACGCCTATTTCAGCATTTCTCTGTTTCTGTCTTAACATTTCTACATTTATTTATTTATGTATGTACTTACATAAGTATATGTGTGCGGAGAGCAGACAAATTGTGGAATTTGGTTTTCTCCTTCCACGACGTGGGTTCTGGAGATCAATCTCAGATAGCCAAGCTTGGTGGCAAGGACCATGGCCCCCCAAGCCATCTCACCAGACCAGCTTCTCTCTTTTCATTATTGTCCCCCACACCCTTCATTAAACCGTGGTGGCTTCCCTAAAATAAAGATATTTAACATGTACCCCAACATTTAGGTTTTCCTTTTTCCTATGTCCTTCCAAAGACAGATATTAATGCACAAAGCAAGCAAACACAGACTAGGACATGCCCATGCCCATTTGAGACCTAAAACACAACAATTTGATTTAAGCAAGATGCTTCCAACATCTGCTTGACTTAATGCTTAGAAAATGCTATTTCTGAAAATGATGTTTTTGTTTGTGTAAGACTATTATGCCACAGCTATTTTACTGTTATTGAAGTTGAGAAATTATGTAGAAAATACATTTTTAGACGGAGGAAAGAAAAGACATAAAACAAGCTTTGGCTTGAGTTTTTCAATTAAAATAAATGATGGCTGTATCTCTCAGCCTAACGTTTCTCTTGTGGGTGAATAAGCGGCCGTCAGGTCCTCATGGCCGCCGTCTCTGTGGGCCTGGTTGCTTGCACACTGTCTCTCTGGCTGGACACCCCAGGCTTGCTGAGGTTTTCTCACCCCCATGTCAGTACTAGTCTGAGTACTAGCAGTGTTCTCCTGGCGTGACTGATTGCAGCCACACAGTTCCAGTCACAAGCGAACTAATCTCTCTTCCTTCCCTGCCATTAATGCCTCTTCTTTCCTCTCTGGCAGTCCGGATGCTCCCCACATGGTAAGACCTCTATTCTAATCCCCCTCTCTCCCCAAAACTATCCTGGAAGGTCTGGAGGCCTCTTTCTCCTATGAACCCATAAAAGCTGTTCAAGTCCCCTGGATTTCTAGTCCTGCTTTGTCGACCGTCATCTGTGTGGTTACCGGGTAAATAGTTCAGAAACAAGGTGGCATTCTCTGCCATTCTGTCTTAAGTGTTTCCGAGTTCCTGAAGGTTGCATTCCCAATCTTGTTTTATGCCCTAAGATTTATTTAGCATGGTATCTTTTCAGAGAGAAAATGATTTTAAGCTGTGCTATTAGAATTTTGATCTTGATTAGTTTATTTTGGTTTGGGTGCCAGGGATGGTATCCAGGGCCTTACACATGATCGCCAGGCCAGTGCTATCCCGATGAACTGCAACCCCAGTCCCTGGACACGGGCCCAAAGGCCCAGGTGCAAAAGGTTTAACTCCCAGACTGGTGCTCCTGGAAGGAGGTAGAGCCTTTAAGAGGTAGAAGGAAGTTAGGTCATTGGTGGCACGCTCTTGAAGGAGGTTGTAAGACCCACCCCCAGTCTGTCAGTCAGTCTGTCTGTCTGTCTATCTCTCTCCTGCCATGACTTCATTACATGTTCTTTCCACGTGAAATGGAGCTCAGTGAGTTATGGACTGGAGCCTCAGAAAACTGCGAGCCAAGAGAACCGTTCATCTTTTCCGGTTGATTGCCTCAGGGATCTTATCAGGGTAAAGGAACACCAACTAATGCAGGGAGAGAAGGCCGAGTATCGTATTTACCAGTAGCTCCCCTCTTCGATTCTGGGCTATTGGCAGCTCCCTCTCACCCTTCAAGTCAGTGGAGTCTGAAGTGACTATGACACCCTCACTGGTAGCTTTTCATTGTTGATGCTTGGCTGTTTAGTATTCTCCTCCCATGCCACAGGGATGGTGGAGGACTTAGCTGACAGGGCAGCTAGCCTGGTCCCTCACAAGGGGTGATGGTTGGGCTGGAAGGTCACCCTGGCAGCAGACTTAGCATGACCAAGACAGACTCTGTTATGTTAAATCGTGTTATTTGGGGTTGTCTCTCGGTATCACTCGGTACAACAGTCCATTTAACTGTCTACTATTATTTTAAATCTCTAGTGGGTGGGGCTTGAACTGAATGACTGTGAGCCAAAGCAGGCTTGTGGGAGAGTGAGTCCCTCAAATACAGCCTGTCGGAAACTGGATGTGCTGTACCCAGCACAGTGAGGGAGGCAAAGGGCTTGGAGTGGGGTTCAGATCCACGTCATCAATTTACAAGCTATGTGTCCTGAACTGGCCAGCCCCAAATCGACAGGGGCTTCACCTCAAAATCCTCTTTATATTTGGAAAAAATATTGAGGATCCCAAAGAGAGTTTGCTGAAGTGTTCTTTTTCGGGGAATATTTACTATGTTAGACACAAAATTCAGAAATTTAAATACATTCATCAACTCACCTAAAGTTAGACAAATAAATGCATCATGTAAGTACACTATATTTTTAATGAAAAATATTCTTTCAAGAGGCAAAGTTAGTGAGAAAGTTCATTGACTTAGAGTTTGTAACTCTCTTGAGTGTCTGATTTACTAGAAGGCAGGGGCATTCTCAAAAACGGTCTCTTCATTTCAGCTCTTGTGTTATATTATTTCAGATGAGGTAAATGAAGAAAATCCTGCTTCATGCAGACATGCAGCTGAGAGACATTAAAAATAGTTCATCAGTCCTTTTATATAATGATGAGTATCCTTTGATTTGACATCCAAACTTGAGACAATTGAAAATTTCTGAAGTTTATTACTATGTATAGTATGAGGCTGTTATTATTTGTTGTTGTTTATCTTACAGTCCATTTACCTATCTTATACTTTAGGTGCAAATTTTTTGATTTTATAGGTCATTTGAAATTACTATCTCACCAAATGTTGTGAAAATTGCCTATAAGAGAAAAACCTTCCATTTTAGAGGGAAGTTCCTTAAGGGAAGTGAACAACTCAAAGGTTTTAGGAAGTTCCTGAAACTGACCAGATTCATAGGGCCCTCCACAAGTTCTTATAAGCAGAGGCATTTAGACAGGCTGAGAGCTACCTAGAAAACCCTCAGACAAGCCAGACTGCCTAGAGCAGTGGTTCTCAACCTGTGGGTTTTGATCCCTTTGGGGGTTGAATGACCCTTTCACTGGGGTCTCCTAAGATCATACAAAACACAGACATTTATATTATGATTCATAACAATAACAAAATGACAGTTATGAGGTAGTAACGCAAATAATTTAATTGGTTGGGGGTCACCACAATATGAGGAATTGTATTAAAGGGTCACAGCATTAGGAAGGTTGACAATTACTGGCCCAGAGACTCAGAGGAGCAGAATTGTCTGAAAAAGGCAGCGACCAGCCAAGCTGTCTCTACGAGCCTCAGGCCACCTGAGCTGCCTGAAAGTGATGTCCCAATCCATGGAGCTGCCTGCAGGTGTGCAGTGCACTCCAGGTTTCTGGCTTCCATGACCTGTTAGCTGTCCTTGGCTGGGCTTGGTGATACAGCTGTCTTGGAGTTGTTTCTGCGCCTGTGAGTAACGCCTCACCCATTCCCTGTAAATAACCCCAATAAAACACATTGGTTCACCAAGTTTGGCTTTGGTACTATCCTCATTTTAGTCTGCCATGGGTTCCCTATATGGGGTGAGTAGGTGTATGTTCACACCTCCCTAGGAGCAGAGTCACACAGCACTGAAGGATGGTGTTTGTTCAGATGTTGATGCTTTTCACAGTGTGATATGAAGAGTTCAGATTTTATTTCTCTCTCTCTCTCTCTCTCTCTCTCTCTCTCTCTCTCTCTCTCTCTTTCTTTTTGATGCAGCCACTGGTCCCATCACAAGGTCTTTAAGGATTGAGAAGCTGTGGCGTTCTCAGCAGCAGATATACAAGTTTCTCAAAAGTCTAATTTTGCATGAAAGTTTGTGTTTTATCACTGGCCACAAATTTTATCAGCTGTCTTCCTTGAAATGACAAGCTCACTTTGCTTATTTGTTTATTTATCTATTGAGCACATAAACATTTGCCTGGATCCTAAGCCCAATAACTGCTATTTTGTGGCCTTTCTCTCAGTCACATCCAGCTTTCCCAGAATAAGCAGCTAGTTGAGCTTGTCATTCAAGGGGACTCACACGTGCTTCTTCAGGGGCCTCACGTTAGCTATGACATGCAAGGACTTTCACGTTCACCTCTCAACTCATCACACAAACTACTAGGAACAAAAAGACATATATTCAGGGGTGTAACTCAATAAACCCAGTGCTTCCCACTGCTTCAGCAAGGACCCGCAGCTCGGCTCCTCATCCCTCTCCTGGTCCAGCCTGCTGCCATTCCTTGGTCATTGCTTTCATTTGGGGCTGCTTCTGTGCCATTGCTGGGAAAGCCTGTCCAGAACAAGCTAACATGTTAGCATTGCTACAAGAAATAGTTTGCACTTTGCAAGCCCAGATACTCTGAAGCGGTCTCAGGGATCCCCTTAGGAACTCTGCAAGCCCAGATACTCTGAAGTGGTCTCAGGGATCCCCTTAGGAAACCATTCAACCATCCCAGGTTTGTTTCTGTTGCTGTGACAAAACGTCCTAACAAAAAGCAAAATGTGGGAGGCAGAGCCAGGTGGATCTCTGTGAGTTCGAGGCCAGCCTGGGCTACCAAGCGAGTCCCAGGAAAGGCGCAAAGCTACACAGAGAAACCCTGTCTCGAAAAAAAACGAAAAAAAAAAAAAAAAAAAGCAAAATGTAGGAGGAAAGAGTTTATTTGGCTTACGGTTCCAGGTTGCAGGCCACCATTGTGGGGAAGTCAAGGCAGGAGCTTGAAGTCGCTCATCATATCACAACCTCAGTCAAGAGAAGAGAAAATGCACACATTCGTACTAACACTCAGCCTCCTTCCTATTCTTACACAGTTGTGACCCCCACTTAGGGGATGGTGCTGCCCACAGTGGGCTGGTCTCTCCCCACCTTAATTAGGGTAATCAAGGCAGCCACCCACGGACTTGTCCATAGGCCAGCCTGAGCTAAACAGTCCCTCACTGAGATTCTCTTCCCTGGTGAGTTCAGATTGTGTTAATAATGAGCACTAATCACCACACTAACCCATCTTAGACAACATGGCAGTAGTCAAACTGGAAAATCGAATGGAAGATTAACAAAAGTACGTATAAGGCACTTAGGATGCTGCCTGGAATACGAGAAGCCCCCAGAGCATCACTGTGTACCAACTGATGCTGTGAAGGCATCCTGCTCATGTGCTAGTGTTGATTGTAACCTTTCATTTTTCTCCACACACTCATCCTTCTGGCAGATACCCACTTTAATTAATTGCTTCCTCAGTGCCCTTCTGTTCTCTCCTTCTTAGCGCCAGCCAGGATCCACTCAAGTACAACTGGTCTGACCTCTGTCACACTGTCACGGTGACCCCTTCCTTCTATTTCACAATGCTTGACCCATTAAAGAGCACAGTTGCCGTCACAGGCAGTTCTGGCTTCTGGTGTTAGACCCTCTCGAGATTCATCTTATTATTCTAGAGATTGGGAGTCTGTCTGAGGCAGAAGAATCTAAAGTTCCCAGCAGGCCTGGGATACATACACAGTAAGACTCCATCTCAAAGGAAAACTGGAAAAAAAGAATAGTATTTTTTTTATCATTGAGATTAGGATTTTTTTTTTCTGGTGAAGGTTAATGAAATAATGTACTTAAAACTAACTGCCAGAATGCTTACCTATGGCATGCATTTGTCTTCTGTATCGGTTTTTTTTTCCTCTTCGACCTCTGTCTAGTCCTCTGCAACATCACCACTGAATTGAATTTCTCATGCATTGTTCATTCATTTGGTCGCAGTGCACGTGGGTATCATCTGTGACTTCATCACATTGTGAAATATTTATTCATCGCTTCTCTGAGAGAGGCTGCAGTTAGGACACAAGACAGGCAGCAAGAGCTATGGGCCCACAGTGGAAGTTGTGTTCTTGTTGGCAGCCAATATAGCTTCTCCAACAGCCTCAGTGCTCTTCCATGAAGGTCAACCTCCTCGGCAAGGCAGCTAGGATGTGGCCCTAGCCAGCTTCCCTTTGATGCTCTTTATGAGACTACTCATTTCTGTCTCTGAATGGTTACAGTTTCCAGCTTACAGGCCAACACTTGCCTGTCCCCTCTGTTTGGAATGCCTTTCTTTATCTGCCGCAGCTTGCCTGTAACTGTCATCCTGAAAGCCCTTCCCCCACCCCTGCTCCACGACTTCCCTTCTCCCTTGCCCTTCCGTCTCATTCTGTTCCCAGGCTCCTCAAAAGACGTGTGCTCATACATGGCTCATGGTCACTCTGTGTGTCTTGGTCCTCCGGGTGGGGAATGATACACCAGGAAAGAGCTTCCCCCTCCACTGTCATGCCATAGGAGAGCCTGGCACACATAATTCCTCCATGAGTGTTTGTCTGTGGATGCGTGAAAACGTTCTCCACTAATTTTGGCCAGCTTATTTAGTCAAGATCCTAATCTTGTTGATGTAAAATGACCAGCTAGTTTTTAGCAATAGCATTGAATTTCATATAGACTGTGCAATAAGTGGAACACACACGTCATTTCCTGATGCTCCTGATTTTCATGATGGACTCCTGGTCTTTATAACCATGGGGTGGGGAAGGGGTCTGACTCTGGGAAGGAGGACAACATAGCCAAGTGGATCATTTGGTTCTAATGAGAAGTTCTAGGAGGTGGCTCATTTGTGGACAGACACCTTTACACTTCTGGGACATTCAGAGAATAGAAAATCAGATGTCAAATGGCTTCAGATTTCTGGGGCTTGTTTGGGATGCCTCTAGAGGTGAGATGGTGACCTGAGTTGTGTTTCTTGGCTCTAGGTTTGGAGTTGGTAGGTTGTGAGAAACCTTTGGTGTAACATCTTCGGGTGAAAATCTTGGTTGAGTGTTTGGTTTGACAGAAGGTACCTGCCTATGATTTTTAAATAGTTTTGAATTAAAGTGAAACAAGACCCTTGGATTTGGAGATATCATTTTAGATCATCCAAGTGTTTTTCATGAGCACTTGCTGTGGGATGTGGTCCCAGGATGGAACATTTTGCTGTCTCTTATCTTCCTGTCTTTCTTCCATGGAGGTGAAGATCCTCTTATAACCATGAAGGTTAAAGCATTTGGTGAAATGATCTCTCCAGTTACCTAAGCAGAGTGCAGATTCTGGGTTGAGGGAAAGGCTAGCCTGTTGTGGGATACTTGTACACTGTATGAAGATGGATTGCCGTGATTGCTGTAATAAAAAGCTGAACGGCCAATAGCTAGGCAGGAGGTATAGGTGGGACTTCTGGGCAGAGAGAGGACTCTGGGAAGAAAGAAAGTGGAGTTACCAAGCAGACATGGAGAGGAAACAGGAGGTGAAAGATGAAAGAGAGGTAACGCCACGTGGCAGAATGAAGATTAATATAAATGGGTTAATTTAAGTTATAAGAGCTAGTTGAGACAAGGCTAAGCTAAAGGCCAAACTTTCATAATCATTAAAGTCTTGGTGTCATTATTTGCAGGATGGCAGTCCAGACAAAAAAAGTACTACTACATTTGGCACCCAATGTGGGGCACGTAAATCCACATAAGGCCTGAGAAAGCTTTCTGGCGACCATGGTCTCTCTGGTAGGCTCAGTGCTAGTGGCATACAGAGGTGAGGCTCTCTTAAGAGGCCCTGCTATCAAGCACTTGAATGGGGTTTATGAGCAGCAAATGGCTATTCGGTGGCAGGAGATTAGGTAGAAATGCTTACTATAGTTTAGACCCAGAACTTCCCAGAGCTGGGGTGGGCAGACCACCTCCAGGCCAGGGCTTCAGGCATGAGGCTCTACTCTCACTGACCCACAGTGGGCAGAGTCAGCCACCAGACCCTGTGTGCTAAGCAGAGCTTTGTGGTAGAGGGCCTAGCTACCACTTAGCAGTTTAAGGTTTGGCTCACCATCAGAGAACACTGCAAGTGAACAGCTGCAGGCACTTAGTAAAGTCAGGTCCAGGCCAAGAAAACCTCTGAACAGGTTACAACATGCTTTAAAATGTGCTTAGATTCTGAAGAAAGAAAAGAAAGTGAGTATCAACTTTAAAATACTTTAAAAATAGTAAAGTCTTTAAAGAGAGAATAAAACAATATGAAAAGAATAAGCCACATAAAGACAGGAAATACACAGGATGTCTGGATCCTGTATGGTGTTTTGTTGACTTAGAATTTTTTATTTATTTATTTATTTATTTATTTATTTATTTATTTATTTATTTATTTTGGTTTTTCGAGACAGGGTTTCTCTGTGTAGCCTTGCGCCTTTCCTGGAACTCACTCGGTAGCCCAGGCTGGCCTCGAACTCACAGAGATCCACCTGGCTCTGCCTCCCGAGTGCTGGGATTAAAGGCATGTGCCACCACCGCCCAGCGACTTTGCATTTTTTAAATGCTAATGAACAAAAAACAATAGCTGCTGAGAGACATTGGATTATGGAAACTGCTAAATTAAGCTAACCTATATATTTAAAAAATGTCTTAACTTCAGAATGGAAGTCAAAAAATATGTTGTGCTGAGGGAGAGGTTTTGCTTTTGTTTTCACAGGAAACAAAATGCTATAGATTTCTTCAAAATTAATAAAGATCAGATTTGATTGGGGAAGACTTCCTGAAAATCTTGGCTACAGACATGAAGAAAAAAGAAATCAAGGAAAACTATAAGACAGGTGACATATATGCTGCTCCCTCTACATGGGGACAGCTCTGAGACTGGATGAGATGTGATAAATCTTGTTGGCTACAGAGTCCTCATGACTTATTATTACATGCCATCCTTTCATATGACATGGATAGAGATTTATATTACAGTTTGATTATACAGTCCAAACAAACATAAAGTTAGCAGATGCCTTTTACCTGCTCAAACACAAAACAAAAAATCATCTTTAGCTGATTTGAGCATACCACAATTCCATACTTGTGTTAATATATATATATATATATATATATATATATATATATATATATATATATATATATATATATATATATATACTGTTATCTTTAAAGGTTTGTGTGTTCAGAAAAAAAGGATCAGACACCAATGAAGACAAGTAGCCCAGGTGACCCAACCTGTCAGAATGCCTCTGTTATAGTGTCCTCAAAATTCTGAATCCAGAACAACTTCAAGGATGCTAGCGGTTATTTTTGTTATAACACACTGTATATATGCTTCTACTCTTGTTTAAGGTATTTTTTATATTGATACAACTTTAAGGTTATTTTTTGTTATACTGTATATATGTTTCTATTGTTGTTTAAGATATTGTACATGTTCAGCTCATTTAAAAATGCAATATAAAGTTCTAGTCCTTGAAAGCTATTATTACAAACTGTTTAGGATAATTAAGAAATGCAGATTAGTAGTTAGTCATCCTTAACAATCAAACTTGTAGTCATATTAGGTATGTTTTCAAGGTTAAATGGATATATTTTAGATAGATAGGTGGTGTTCAAACATTTCAGGCTGGGCGGTGGTGGTGCACGCCTTTAATCCCAGCACTTGGGAGGCAGAGGCAGGTGGATCTCTGTGAGTCTGAGGCCAGCCTGGGCTACAGAGTGAGTTCCAGGAAAGGAGCAAAGCTACACAGAGAAACCCTGTCTTGAAAAACCAAAAACCAAAAATAAAAACATTTCAGAGACCTACAGAATATGACATTTAAGATGTTTTAATAACATAAGGCTTTTCGTGACAGTGAGACATGTCTGATCCTGGCAGCACAAATCTAGGATGATGGACATTGAAGAAACTCCATTTGGAGTTGACTTTTATTGTGGTAAAGTTAGCCACTGGGCAAGAAAATGCCCTTGCATTAGCTGCTGTACAAACTAGAAAAGCAAGACACAAAAGAAAGTGACTGTCAAACTTTGCCAAAACAAGATAGGACAGTCCTTCAAAATTCCTGCTTCATAGAAAAATCTGCCAGATATCCTAGGCCTATAGGCTGAAGATGGATTCTCCAACATTGCAGAGGAACTTTGGGTGACTGTCCAGGCAGCCAGCTGTTTCTGTCATTTCTGTAGTTTTGGAAGTTTCTTGCTCTGTATTTCCTGTTTACTCAGGTAATATTATATCCTTCTCAGGTCTTTGATGGGGTTGAAGACTAGATAGTTATAGTTACAGTTTTTATTGTTACCAAATTCAGAAAAGAAACTCACAAAAGAGGTGTAAAGTTTATAAGGTTGAGAGACATAAAAGCTTAAATTGTTTATCTAATAAAACGTTTTAAGGTCTAGAAAGATATTTTTAGGATGGTAATACAAGTTACGATGAAATGGTTTAGGTATAAAACTTTAGACTCAGCAAGATAGTATAGATAATAAAGTAATCTCTCCAAATTTGCCAAATACAAATGGCCTGGACATGGTAAATGTAATTCTTACTTGATAATTGTTCCTGTTGTATATAGTTTTACTGTGTTAGAATTAAAACATTTCCTTTTCATTTAGACAAAAGGGAGAAATGTTGTGGGATATTTGTACACTGTGTGAAGATGTATCGCTGTGATTGGTGTAACAAAAAGCTGAACAGCCAATAAAAAGCTGGACAGCTAGAGGTATAGGTGGGACTTCTGGGCATGGAGAGAACTCTGGGCAGAAGGAGGCAAAATCACCAGGCAGACATGGAAACAGAAGGTGCAAGACGGAAGAGAATTAACAAGCCTTGTGGCATACCGTGGGTTAATGTAAGTGGGTTAATTTAAGTTATGAGAGTTAGTTGAGACAAGGCTAAGCTAAAGGCCAAGCTTTGGTAATGACTAAAGTCTCTGTGTCATTATTTGAGGGTTGGCAATCCCAATGAAAAAAGTGCCACACTAGCCAGTGGTTAACGTATGACGCTGTGGCTCTGAGTTAATGATCTGAAGTCCTAAAGAACTACTTTTTTGCCTTTCTTGTCCTTCAGATTCCAGGCATGACTTTAGTTTGGGAAACAATCCTTCGGATCCTTCATAATTCAGAAAGCCACTTCCTGGTGTGGGAAAGGAATTGACCTCCTGGAATGTGCCAGGGGTTACTAATTTGTTTCAGGCCTAAAGCTAGGCCTGGAGGGACAGCAAGAGTCTGAAGCTGTCCAGTGGCCTTTGCCAAACAGGAATGGGAGGCCTGAGGGCCCATTCAGAGTTCCAGCAGAGAGGCAGCAGGCTGGAGGGGGCTACTCAGAAGGCTTTCTCCCAGTCTATCATATGGCTTTTGATTGATCTGCTGCATGCATGCCGTACCTCTGTCTGGGACCAGACCCCTTCATCCTCTCAGCCCAGAGACGCGCTGTCTCTCCTTTAAGAAGTTACGCAAAAGTCACTTCTGTTTTTTATGATCAGTTCCAAAGGGCTTGATGGATGTCATATATTCCTCTGTGTTCCGACGTGTTCCTGCCATCTGCCTGTGCTGAAGCATCTACTGCATGGCAGGCTACGGACATTCTGTCTCTCTAACTGGACTAGGGAGTTCTTGGGCTCAGTGCCAAGTGCATGTCTCAGGGCCTAGCAAAGGCCCATTAGCCAATAGTACACTGTCATTTGAATAAAGAGTATTGCCTTAAAAACCTGGCGTTGCTCTAAGATCAACCATCCATAGAGAAGCTGTTAATTAGACTGTTGGCTACTAATGCCTTTATGAATATGTATTTACATTATTTTCCTTAGGTATTTATATAGATTGTTTTAAATTACTTAAGTTTTAATTATTTAAAAACCACCAACCTGTTCCAATCATGTTTCTAGAGGGTCCTCGAGAAGCAATAGCTTGTGCTAGCTTGAGCTTCTCACCCTGCCCTCCAACAAGGAAAGCTGGACAATCCCAGAAGCCAGGATGGCGGTGACAATTCAGATTAAGGTGAGAGAATCCTAAGAAAACAGAACTGTGGCCTGCTCTTCTCCATGTCACTATACTGGAGTGCTGGAGATTTATTTTTTTCCTGTGGAGAACTGTCCCCTCACAGTGGGTCTTACAGGCAAGCCTCAATCCTGTGTCTGTCAGTACCACTGTGAGCAGATTTCCTCTGAGAGTCTTTCTACTAGTGATTGGGAGAGGACTTCCAGGGAGTCTATTTATCATATGACCAGAGTCACTGAAAGGCAATCCCTTTTCAAATGTGAGTTATGGAGCTGTGGGATGAGCCATTTATCATTGTCCTCCGTGGAGAGGCAGAAGACGGGCAAGTTCATTACTGAAAGGATGTGCTATTGTCCTTAAGGTCCAATTTCCCACACTTGTCCTGGAATACAATTATGTTGTATTGTGATGAAGCTTTTCAATTAAAAATTTGTATTTTATTGATTTCAATTATATGTACATGTGTGAGTCTGTTTGTAGGAATGTGCATGTGAGTGTGCCTGTAGAAGCCAAAGGCATCAGATCACCCGGGAGTTTGAGTTACAGGCAGTTATGAGCCAACAGATGTGGGTACTGGGAATGGAACTCGGGTCCTCTGGGAGAGCAGTACATGCTCTTTAAACACTGAGCCATGTTGTGGGATATTTATACACTGTGTGAAGATATATTGCTGTGATTGGCATAATAAAAGCTGAACGGCCAATAGATAGAAAGAGATTAGGTGGGACTTCCGGGAACAGACTTCTGGGAAGAAGAAGGGTGGGTCACCAGTCAGACAGAGAGGAAATAGGAGGTGCAAGATGAAAGAGAGGTAACACCATGTGATAGAAGATAGATTAATATAATTGGGCTAATTTAAATTATAAGAGTTAGTTGAGGCAAGCCTAAGCTAAAGGTCAAGCTTTTATAATTAATAAGCAGTCTCCCTGTTGTTATTTGGGGCTGGCAGCAGAAAAGAAAGTCCGTCTACAGAGCCATCTCCCCGGCCTCTCAGGATAGATTTTGATGAAAACTCTGATCCACTAAGCTCTCAAAGTTGTTTTTCTTCAGTTGAGTTACTTGGCACCTAGACTCTTCTCTCAATTTACATCTTGTTTATATTGTGCTAGAAGCTTTAGAATTTCCCAAGAAGGGTCAAGGAGTCAAAGCAAGTCAGCTAAGAATTTAGAAAGAATCTAGCACTGGTCTTCATTAAATGTGAGACCCTAGTCAAGAGATTGGCACTAGTCAGCAAGAGTGGAGTTGCAGACACATTGAAACTAAGAACTATGACTGTCAAAGTCCTTATGAGCAGGCCTGCTCTGAGAGTCTTTCTACCTGTGATTGGCAGAGAGTCTCCATTGAGTCCATTTGTCCTTATGACCAGAGTCACTGAAAGGCAACCCTGACTGCCTCCAGACTGGCATGGTTTAAACTCAAGCCAGGGATACACACTTGGTCTTATTCATGTCCTTAGAAATGCAAGAGAAAACCTGTGTTTCTGGGAAGGGTTCTCTGATTTTCTCTTGTAATTGTTTTCCTCTTCAGTCCAGTACAATGTAATTAGGTAAGCCTATCAGCCGGCAACTCTTCCTAGGTGGGAGGGAGACCCTTCACGGTTCTGTGCTGGAAGGGACTCTGCTTATGAGGCTCTCCTACATCACTATACTCCTCTATTGTTTTCTTTTGTTTTTCAAGACAGGGTTTCTCTGTGTAGCTTTGCTCCTTTTCTGGAACTCGCTCTGTAGACCAGGCTGGCCTCGAACTCACAGAGATCCGCCTGGCTCTGCCTCCCGAGTGCTGGGATTAAAGGCGTGCGCCACCACCGCCCGGCTTACTCCTGTATTTTAATTGATTCATTTTCATTATATATTTTGAATAAAAGTGTACCCTTCCTCTTCTATCACGGTGAACACTCAAAAGTACATTTATAAAAAATTAGCTTTACATCAACATCTATTAAGAGCGAAACTCCGGGCCAAAGCTATTGATCAAATTCCACTTAAATAGAGGATATTAAGTAAATTACTTGAGCTGATTAAAAACACCTTCATCAAAGTAGAACATCGGTGCCAACAATATTAAGAGTTGAATTATCGATTTTGCTTTTTATAAAAACAGAATATAGTCCATTAGCAGGGAAGCGAAACGATCCCTCCTCCTTCACTTTGGGCACAGTAAGGGGAGTGAGTGATCTTCTGCTGGGGATGGGGAAGGAAGGACCGGGAAGGGAAGGGCATGAAGGCAGAAAGGAGGCCCTGAGGTCAGAACCCCAGAGGAGGAGGAGGAGGGCGCGGTCCAGTTGGGCGGCAGGACCACCTCCATCCGCGGCTGCTGCGAGCGCACACTGGGGCGCTCCCGCTCCCGGCCGCCAGAGGGCGCAGCCCGAGCCGGCGCGGCGCCGGGAAGGAGGAGGGGAGCGCGAGAAGGGTCAGGCGCGCAGGGCGTCCGCGCAGCTCGGCTCCGGGAAGGGCGCGCAGCCTCCGCCTCCGGGATGCGGCCGCCCGCGCTGCTGGCGCTGCTCAGCTGCTCCGCGGGTAAGTAGCGCGCGGCCCGGGCGCGGCGTGGGGAGGGAGCCCGGGGCTGCGGGCCGCCCCCGCGCAGTTCCGGCTGCCGCCCGCCCCGTCCCGCCCCGTCCCGGCCGCAGCGCCCTCTAGCGGCGCCACCCCTGGCCCGCGCCCTCTCCATCTCCGCCTTCTTCCGCCGGGGCAGGCGGGCCGGTGGGGAGGGCGCGGCCGGGTCGGGAGCCTGCGCCGCGCAACTGCTAGAAACTTTGCGAGAGGCCGCGCCGTGCCCGCCCCGTGCCCGCCCCATGCCCGCCGCCCGCGCGCCCTGCCGTACACACCCCGCGCCCCACTATGTGCACCCCGCCCTGTGCGTCCCCAACAGCCCCGCCGCCGTGTGCTCCGCGCGTCCCTCCGAGTGCATCCCGCGCCCCGCCGTGTGCACTCCCTGCCCCACCGTTACCTACCTCGCGCCCCACCGCTTGCCGTGTGCACTCTGCGCCCCACTGTGTGCACTCTGCGCCCCACTGTGTGCACCGCGTGCGACCCGCGGTGCGCACCCCCTGCTCCTCGCCTTTAACACCCCACTCTCCACCTTGTGAACCCCCCCCCACTCCCCGTTCTCCACGCTATTCACTCATGGGCCTCATGTTCACCACTTCCCCCTAGATGTGCACCCCTGCGCCCCACCTTGTGCACATCCCGCGCCCTACCGTAGTGTGCATTCCTGGTGTCCCCCCCCCCTCCCCGTGCATATCCTGAGTCCCACCGTGTTCGACCCCTCCCTACCATGTGCACCCCACTCCCCACGCCCCCGGGTGCATACCCACATCGCGCTGTTTGCACCCGGCTCTCCACCTTGTTCACCCCCTGCGTCCGGCCCTGTGCACTCTGTTCCTCCGGCTGCGCCCTGCCATGGGCATCCCCTCCCCATGCTCAACTGTACGCACCCTGGATCCCCAGATGTGCATGACCCGTGTCCCACTAGGTGCCTCCCAAGTCCCCAGTCATACACACTCTGCCCTGCCTTGAGTACCCCATGCGCCCCACCGTGGGTCCCTTGCAACCCCACCCAACCTTACACAAGCTTCATCCAGCCGTTAGCACACCCTGTGCCCCAAGGTGCCTACCGTGTCCGTTGTGCCCCACCCCCCATCCTGATTTCCCGGGACTCCCCTACCACCTGCACCCCAGGAACCTACAAACTTGACCCGCCTTCTTCCTAAGGCAGTTGGGCAAGGAGGCGGGGGGGGGGGGGGGGAGGGAGGGAAGGGGAGGAGGGGCGGGGAGACCAGGGGTGCCCTGCTGAGCCTTGGGGCCTCGGGGTGGATTCCCTGGGAAAATCAGAGAACTGGTCTCAGGCAGTCCCGTTGCCCAATCCTTTCTTTCCTGAAGGCGTTTTTCCTCCCCCTGTTAGCTAAGATGTGAGAAAAAGTTAAAAAGTCACTGTGAATGACTTTTTATGATATTTGTTCAAGTTTGAAAGCGTGGGTTAAAAAAAAAAAGGACTCTTTCAGCTTGTCATTATAGTACTTTCTCTAACCCTGACTTGCCTGTGTTTCCTGTCTCTGAAAAGGCAGAATTTCAGATTTTTAGAAATGGCGGAATAGTGCAGTTTAGGGAAAGACTTAGTCCACCAGAGCCCTGACAGCTCGTTTTTATTTGGATTTATGCTTTCCGAATAGGGACATTTTTGTTTTGCTTCTGAATACCCCTGGCATTTCTTCAGGTGCTCACTAAGTGTGAGAAAATTGAGCTAGATTAGCTCGTAATTAATTGTTCACTCACATGATTAATTTGGCAACACTGTAATTTAAAATGTTAGGGCACCTTGGACCTAGAAGGTGGCAATTGATCATGGGGAATTTGGCCAGAGATCATTGGTTGAAGAAGGCGTCGAGGAGCCCCGGGAGAAGGGCAGGCAAGAGGGTGGGGAACTGGTGACTGAGGCTGCCTGTTGCCTGGAGGGTTTACAGCTAACCAAATGGGTGGGTGGTGTCTGAAATTAGCATTCTATTTGTAGTATTGCCTTTAATAGTAATATTTGTATATCACAGATGCAGTATATAGGCTGAAAGCTACATGGGTTATTTTTGTATCTACTTTTTAATACCCTTAAGGGGATATTTGATTAGATAATACAGGAAAGGACACCCAGAATGAACTAAAATGTCAACACATTTTTAGAGATGCCTCCGAACCTCATGAAGTTGTTAGATAAGCACAATAAATGAGATACAAAATTCCTTAAAAAGTTCCCGTGAGAGGCTGGAGAGATTGCCCAGTGGTTAGAGCACTGGCTGCTCCTGCGGAGGACCTGGGTTCAGTTCCCAGCACCCACATGGCAGCTCACAACCATCTGTAACTCCAGTTCCTGGGGTTCTGATGCCCTCTGCTGGCGTCCATGAGTACCAGGCACTCATGCAGCATACATACAAACTGCATGCAGGCAAATTATTCATATGCTTGTAACAAAAATAAACGGAACAAATCCAAGTCCCTGTGAGACTCTTGGGTCTTGTGACTGGCTTCTGTGAGCTAGTGCAGGAGCGAGGCTTCTTTCCTTCCGGCCCAGTGTTTAGTGTTCTATACTTTGATATAAGGGGAGGGACATGGAAATGTCTGAAGGTGTGGCCCCCACTTAGAATTCTGTTGGAAGAGAAAATGTGCCATGCGCTCTGAGTCGTGGAATAATTTTGAGAGTTTAGAAGTACCATACCCCTCCCCGCCCTTTTTGTTTTTGGAGACAGGGTTTCTCTGTACACAGCCCTGGCTGTCCTGGAACTCCCTAGACCAGGCTGGCCTCGAACTCACAGAGATCCGCCTGCCTCTGCCTCACAAGTGCTGGGATTAAAGGCATGCGCCACCACCGCCCAGTTTACATACATCCTTTTAGGAGTGGTCTGACTGGGCAGATTCCTCACACACTAGCACATTTTTTTTTTTTTCATTTTGAGGAAAGTCAATATAGAAATTTTATTTTAAACCTGTGTGTATGCAGACAGAATTCATGGTGGATTCAGTTCTAGTGTCTGGAATGAGTTCCAGAGTGGGATTTACAGCCTTGGTCGCCATTCATTAGCTGTATGGCTTTTAGTGGCTTTGAACCTTCCTTGTTTTATATAGAACTCAAGGCACGGACTTGATAGACCCCTGGAAATTTTGCTGTCTCGTACAGTTTTAACACACCGAATCCATCATAGAAGAGACCGCTGTCTACCTTGCAGCCTTTGGCTCTCCTTTTCCTAGCCAGACTTATTTGGATTATATGGGTTTAAAAGGGTGGGTGGAGGGGTAATGGAGATGATGTCGTTATAAGATATTTTTAGGTGGCTCTTGCAAATTGGGGTGCCCAAGGAGATATCTGTAAGGATTATGGGGAAGCTCATTGAAAGTGGCTGGTGCAGCCAGGAAATAGACCTTTGGGGCTTAGTTCATCGTCCTTTTCGTTGAGTTGAGCCGATCTGGTGTCTGGAACTCTGAAGGTCACATTGTGACCGTGAGATGACCTTGAGAATGGAAAGAAGGTAGAGAGAAGGAAACAGCCTGGGTCCCGGACGGATGCATGGATGCGGGGTGTCACGCCAGCCCTGTCTGTCACCTACTTGCAGCCTTGTGTAGCAGGAGATTGTATGCAGCCAAACCCAATCTTAATTGATACCTCTGCGGAGAAGATGATTTGAACCAATGGTGAAATAATAGCTATTAGCTTTATCTTTCACATCCCTGTCTGTCCTCTGAGTGAGCCAAGATTGGATTTCTTAGCACCTGCCAAATTGGGATGATTTTTTTTTTTCTTCTGAGCCAAGTCTTGCTCAGATTCTTTTCATTACGGTGAGTCAGAAATTTTCAGACAGAAAGAGTCAAACCTAACTCCGAGTTTTTTTGTGTGGGGTTTTTTTTTTTTTTTTTTTTGGTGTTGTTGTTTTTGATTTTGCAAATTCCCCTTTTGTAGATACTGCTGACAGTGGCTGTAATTCTCCAGATAGATTTGTTGTCCTTTGAGACCCACCCTTAGCAAGATGGCATAATCTGCTTGGTCATGGACATCACCCTGTAGCTCAGTCCAACCCTATAATACCGTGACTTCAAAGTTCTCCCCCAAGCCCACAAGGAAACCTCGTGCAGTGGAGGAACAAGTTTGAATTGCTAGACAGAGTTGATTTCAAAATCATTAAAAAGACCATTAAACAGAAAGGCTGTTTGGAGTGTCATTATTCAAAGGTAAGTTTTGAGGACTTACTGTGTGTCGGGTGCTGAGATGTCCCAGGAACAAGGCTGAGCTGGCTCCACCCTGAGGGGGATGGTAGGAGGGAAAGGAGCATTCAGTAATTAAGCCAGAAACTAATTGCATCCTCGGACGCTTTGAGAACATGTCTCAGGGAGGTCTTGGCCTTCTGTCTGCTCTGGTGCAGCAGTTCGAGGCGACAGAATGACACTTGTTAATGGTGGGAGACTTTCTGGGTCACCTGTGTGGCATCGAGAGCCTGGGATGTTGTGAAGCAGTGGTTCTCGGCCCTCCTAATGCTGCGACCCTTTAATACGGTTCCTCATGTTGTGATGACCATCCCCCACCACACACACCACCATAAAACCATTTACGTTGCTCCTTCATAACTGTAATTTGCTACTGTTAAAGAATCGTAATGTAAATATCCATGCTTTCTGATGGTCTTAGGTGACGCCTGTGGAGGGTCTTTTGACCCCAGGGGGTCGAGACCCACAGGTTGAGAACTGCTGTTATGAGGCCTCCTACAAGGCACAGGACAGCTCCCACAAGGACAGCTCTGCCCCGCCATCATCATAGTGTTGAGGTTTGAGAAACCTTCAGATCAGTGAAGGCTTCCTGGAGGAAGTGGTCCCACCGTAAGCTCTGCCCGGAAGGGGAAGGAGAAACCAGGTAACTGAAGGGACAGGAAGCGTGCCAGCGGGAAGAAAGTGAGGTGAAGGGTTCAAGTGGAGAAAGAGCAACAGCTGGAGAGTGTAAGAGGTGGCAAGACATTCCGGGCCGGGTGAGGGGGGCCCCTGTATAC